GCAGGACAAATCTGACCTGGCCAATTGCCACCATATCAGTTTATTCTCAATAATCAAAGTGATGGTAGGCTTCAATAACAGCATTATTAAGCAGCACTTGTAAAGGAATAAGCAGCTCAATTTGGTTTCCAGCAGGACTACTTGGCAACTGACCTCATTACCCCATGGGTTCAAAAATGGATTAAGGAGCTGAACTCTAGAGGAGAAGTAAGAGTGATAGCCCTGGATGTCAGGAAAATATTTGATTGAATGTAGTATCAAGAAGCACCAGCGAAACAGGAGTCAACAACAATTAGGGGGCATCTCGCCACTGGTTGCTGTCATAACTAGCACAAAGTAAGATGATTGTAGTTGTTGGATATCAGTCATCTAGGCCCAAGCGACATCATTGTAGGATTTCCTCAGGATAGTTTGCTAAGTCTTCAGCTGCTTTCTTATTGACCTTCCCTCCATCACATTGTCAGACGTGGGAATGTTTTCTGATGACTGCGTAATATTCAGCACCATTTGCGATTCCTCAGTCATTGAAGGAGTCCAGGTCCATAAGTAGCAAGAGTACAGTTGAGCTGATAATTGGGAAGTATCATTCTTGCCACACAAGTGTCCAGCAATGACCACCTCAAGCAAGAGATAATTTAACTCAAGAAGCTTCATGTTATCCTGTACAAAGCAGCCTGCTTGACTGGCTTCCCATCTACCAATTTAAACTTTTACTCCTTTCAACACTGACTGATGGAGCAGCAGTGTGTACCATGTACGAGATGCACCGCAAACAATTCACCAAGTCTGCTTTGATAGCATGTTCTATCACCAAGAATCATGAATGGTAGGAGATTTTGGGAACACTATCACTTTTATTTGCTGAGCCCTATAACTGACATGGAACTACATTTAGATTCCTTTCCATTGATCGTATTAAATCTTAGAAGTCCCTTCCTATGAACACTGTCTCTACACACCAGAATACTGCAGTTCGAGAACTCAGAAGCTTTTCTAGGACAATCAGGGATTGGAAATAAATGTTGGCTGAGCTAGCATCATTTGCATTCCCCTGAACAAATTAAAGTTAAAAAATCACATTCCCCTTTGTTCGGATCAGGTATTTCACCACAGACCATTGATTAGACTTGGAATCTTTCACTTCTCTATGACTCAACTACTTGCTGGATGAATTAACTGAGCCAATTGAAAGCTTGCGAGGAATTTCTGACTTTAATTCCACACAATTTGTTAAGCATTGAGTGTTTTCAGATTTCAAGATGATGTTGGTTGTAGTTGTAAAGAATATTTTGTTGGCCCATTCTATTATTTTTATCAACATTTGCAAAGCTCATGTAACCCCTGAAATTTCATACCAATTAAACTAAGTAGTTTTCATTCTGTTGCACAATGTATTTTCTTTTTCCATTCTTAAAATCATTTTCCTTTCTATCTCATTTTCATTCGGCATGTACTATTCCCTGACTGCAATAAGATCAGCTGACATGCTGGCAGATATTTTAATTCTGCATCAACTGGTAGAAGGTGCACTAAAGTGGCACAACATGACTTTGGTCAAATTATCATTCCTATAGCAGCTTTTCTGTGATATGCCTGTTGAAGCAGTTGGGGTAAAGGACCCGCCCTGAGAGGAAATCACAGCCCACATAATTCTGGATCGACTACTGTACTCACTATTGTGCCTTCATACAATGCAGGTTTTATTGATTTAATTATCGAGTACTTGAATTTCATTGCACAGCATATCAGAATCCTAATGCAAACATTGTCTAATTTCTCCTGGAACTACTATATTTATTTTTGTGAACTGTTTATTGTGTTGACAAAAATCATTCTGAGGGTAAGGGCATCACTGGAAAAGCAGGTATTTCTTGGCCATCCTCAGTTTCCTTGAGAAGCTGATGTTGGCCCATGTTTGCGAGCTACTATATTCCATGTAGTGAAGGTGCTCCCACATACTGTAGTGGTTGGACACAACCAAATGGCTTTCTTGGTGGCTTCAGAGAGCTGTTAGCACCACTATATTAGTGAGGATCTGAAGTCATGTAGGTCAGACTAACTTGAAGAAGACAGATTTCCTCTATTCCCTCCATGAAGCATTTTCAAACAATAAAAGTGATCTTAAATTAACACAGGAAAAGCATCTGTAAAACTTTTTTAATTTATCCCAAAATCATAGCAAACCAAATAATCTATTCATAACAAAAACCCAAAGAACTGAGGATGCTGTAAATCAGAAACAAAACGGAAATTGCTGGAAAAGCTCAGCAGGTCTGGCAGCATCTGTGGAGAGAAATCAATCAACATAACATCTCAGGTTGAGTCACCCTTCTTCAGAACGTCCTCAGAGGAATCTATTCATAATGTTTGATAGTTTCAATTAATTACACTGAAGTTTACACTAAAAAAGAAATTAAAGATGAAGATGTTGAAGTAGGTAGCATGAGGACACAGGACGGAGGACTCAATGACATTGCTTTAAGTGTTTAAACATTACAATCAAATACTTCTTGCCTTGAATATGCACAAAATGACATGGAAACACATTTTGGTTTGAAGATCAGGCGTTTCTGTTTCATTAGTAAATTGGTTGATTTCAGAATTGTATGAAGTTTAGAAGGCATTAACTAAATTCTTTGCAGTGATGGTTCTTTTTAAAATAAATGTTCCAAAGTTTGTGTTCCAGGCAGATGATTCCAGATGAAGATCATAATGCTAAAATTGTTCAAGAATGTCACTGCTGTGAAGATTAAGGCAAACTCACATTCCACTGCGGTCTTGTGAACCTTGTTACTATGGCAACAGCATGGTTGTTCTGCACTATTATAATCACACTGCATTGCCAATCTCCCCAAGGGGATCACATGCAGCTTTTATCACAGCTAATTAGCACAATACTCAGTTGTGCAAAGGAAATTGCAAGATTTATTTTAATTGTATTAATCCATTCGATATTGTGCAGCTTTTTAACTTTCCAATGCTGTTTTTATTCTTAAATTGTGATTTCATAAAAATATGACACTTAAAATGCATTTGTTCAATCAACCCTTATTAATTGCCCTGTATTCTGAGGCAGTAAGCAAAAACCACATGCCCTGTGGACTGAACCAGGATAAAGTTCAGTCCCTGCAGAAGAGCTAGTCTCATACCAGAAATGAGGGGGAACACAGGATTTAGTGAGAAGGTGGAACTGAAGGAAATCAGTATTCATCGAAAAATGCTGTTGGGTAACTTGGTGTTAAAGAATGATAAATCTCCAGGTAGACAACAGGAGGCTAGAAGAACATAGCAAGCCAGGCTGCATCTGGAGGAAAAAAATCAATCTTTCAGGTATTACCCTTCTTCAGGATTCCTGAAGAAGGGCAATACCCGAAACGTTGATTTCTTTCCTCCAGATGCAGAATGGCTTGCTGTGTTCTTCAAGCCTCCTGTTTGTCTACCTTGGATTCCAGCCTCTGCAGTTTTTTTTTGTCTCTAAGCAAGTTTTACCATTGCAAAGTCTCTTCAAAGGATGCCCAATTTGAAGAAGCTCTCTGCCTCTCTCAGACATGATCTCAGTGAGTCCCTTTCTCACTGCACACTGCTGTGACTTCTTCAGCCCTTCAGCTCTTCGACCACACCTTGAAACAAACCCACTACTTAAGCCATGTGACCTTCCTCAGCTCCTGTCTTCGCCACCATCTCTTCCCTCAAGGCCTACAAGCACTTTTTAAACCTTCCAGATTTGGACCTACCTGAGTCCTGAAGAAGGGTAATACCCGAAACATTGACTGCTGCTTTCCTCCAGACGCTGCCTGGCCTGCTGTGTTCTTCCAGCGTCCTGTTTGTCTACCTTGGATTCCAGCATCTGCAGTTTTTTTTGTTTCTAGCTAAATCCCCAGGGCCTGATAATCTACATCCCGAGTACTTAAGGAAGTGGCTCTAGAAATAGTATGTGCATAAGTGGTCATCTTCAAAGATTTTATAGACACGAGAACAGTTCCTATTTATTGGAGGGTGGCTAATGTAACCACTTTATTTAAAAAGGTAGGTAGAGAGAAAATTGGAAATTATAGACCAATCAGCCTGACATCAGTACTGTGGAAAATGTTTGAGTCGATTATAAAAAAATTAATAGCAGGGGCCCTGGAAAACAAAGCCAGATTGGACAAAGTCAGCATGGATTTTAAAAAAGGGAATCATGTTTGACAAATTTACTGGAATTCTTCAAGAATCTAAGTAGCAGAGTTGATGAGGGGGAACCAGTGGATTTGGTTTATTTGGACTTTCAGAGGGTTTTCGATATGGTCCCACATGAGAAATTAGCACACAAAATTAAAATGGATGGGATTCAGGGTAGTGTATTGAAGTAGATAGGAAAGCTAGTTGGCAGACAGGAAACAGAAAGTATATTTAAGTATACATTTACATAACAATATGATTCCTAACTGTTTTCAAATAAAGCAATATAACAGGGTGTGTACAGGGAATTAACTTTATGTCAAAAGGAAGGACTAGATTTTACCAAAGCCATTCTGCAACACTGATCTTTATTTAATTCTTCCACTGATTTGATTTGCATCTATGAGGAAGGACTTTCTACTACCTGCTGTGAATAGTATAGCAATTCAAGAGAATGGTGGGATCACACTTCACCCACCCAGTGAAAGCCTGTTTACGGTTCTCTCCTGTGACTGTCCATCATGAGCTACAAGATTAAATCTATGTCAACAAAAGGCAAGTCCTGATTTGAACAGATACATAAAACTGGCCAGTGCACCAGGCTTGAAGAGAAAGAAAATATTTTGCTCAGTTTTGCGGTCAGATTAATATGAAAAATTTATCTAGACAGTGGATTTATTTTTCTTCATGAAGTAGCAATTTTAGTCACTTATTCTGTCTGAGCGTTTAGTTACTCATGATCAAGCCAATTATGAAAACCCAATCTGATTTAGGATTCACTGCTGTTAAGACTGGAAAACCAGTTTACAAATGAAGACTACAATTGAAGCAATAAGTTTTAGGATAATAATATCTGTAATGTAACCTTCAACATAGTTAGTAAATAAGGTTATATTTATACCAATTTATATTGAATGTTAAATGCTTAGGTCATTTATGTAATGATACTGTGAATATTTAATAAAGGGTAACAAATGAAGAAACATTAAAAAATTCAGTAGAAACCAAATGTTTAATTTTAATGAAACTAAGCAATGAAATTGTGATTGATTGACAATAAAAGAACAATCAGTGATTTGCAATGCTGTTTGTTTTTCATTGCTACTGGGTCTTTAGTTTTTGGTCTTTGGAAAACACAAGTTTATTTCTAAATTAAATGCTAGCAACAACCCAATGAACATATAAACTGCACAGTTTTGTAAGCTGCCAAGTTAAGCTAAGAGCTTTATCAAATCATATTTAGACGAAGAGATTTCTCCTTTAAAGTTAAGTTGCTCCTGTGTTTGATTGTTTTCAAGGTCTCCGGTATCCATAGGGAAAACTTTCTTGTTACTAAGCCTCTCATAATTCTTGGCCTCCCACACTGGGGGAAGGGATGTCCTCATCAAATACCTAAAGGACAAATAGAGAGAGGCCCATGTAAGGTTAAGCACTAAAGCTGCACTGCAGCACCAAGCCAATAATGTGACAGGTCTAACATTGCAGCCAGCATCTGATTACAGCATCACATCTAAATACAGCAAAGCAACTCCCTCATTAATCTGATAATTTTTAGATTCAATGTAAGCAGTAATTTGAATAGCTGTGGTGACATGTAAACCCAAAAATCCTGAGTTTCTGTTTAGGTTGAGTTTCAAAATTCATGAAGTCAGCTGTTCTCAGGTGTGAACTGCAGTGAACTAGGTCACTGAGTATGGATAATGAAGTGTTTGAATTAAGCAATGTCAATGGTAAATCCCCCAAGAAATTCAAGATTTCATATATTTATTCATTATATATGAATTTAGTTATATATGATTTCATTATATAAACATGAATTAGGAGCAGGAGTAGGCCATACAGCCGTCAAGCTTTACTGCAAGCTTTCTTAAGATTATGGCAGCATGGATTAAGGGATTAACTTTATCTTGATAGCCAGTGTCTGACTAGATAATCAAGATACTCCCATTCCTATGCCTTAAAGATATTATCTGAACCTGCTGTTTGGGGTAGAGAGTTCCACCACATCTTGATGTTCTGAGAGAAAAATAATAACCTCCATTTTGAATGGTAGAACATTTGTTTTTAAATTGTGCGCCCTATTTCTAGTCTTTCCCACAAAAGGAAATATCCTTTCAACATCCACCCTGTCAAATTCCCTCAGCATCTTATACATTTCAATGAATCACAGTGATTGGAACCAGGTTGGCCTCATTGACTATGAGGTCGTTGATTGGGGTTGTTAACCTGCGCCAATCAGGAAAGCCCTGCCTGACCAATAAAACCAGGATATGAGAAACTCCACTGTTCAAGCGACTGACTCTGAGCTGGTTGGCCACAGCTAGTGTACTGTGCACTAGTAACAGGATCCAGGATACTGGTGACAGGATACTGGCCTCGGTGCAGTTATTTCAGTGGCATTGAGAGAAAACAGGACGTGCCTGAAGAACATTCACTTGCTACAGTCATCTTGGAGTTGGGATAAGCATTTCTGGCATCATGCCTTTATTTGGGGAGCTTGACTCATTTGATCCTGCTGTTGAAGACTGGGCCCACTATGTGGAAAGAATGCGATATTTTTTCTGGGCAAATCACATTGGAGAAGATGAAAAGCAATGAGTAATTCTCCTGACTGCTTGTGGACCAGCAGCATTCTCAGTTCTAAGGGGCTTAACTTTCCCAGAAGTATCAGACACTAACTCCTTCTAAGAGTTGAAGCAGTTAATTAAGGAATAATATGAACCGAAACCTCCTCTAATTCTGCTTTGGTTTTATTCGGCTGTTGGAGAATGGAGAGAATCCATTTCAGGATTTTTGATGAGGTTGAGACGACTGGCAGAGGCATGTGATTTTGGGTTAACACTGAATGAGCTGCTCAGATACTGTTTGGTATGTGGGATTAATGATATAACCATGCAGAAGCGCCCTCTAGCTGAAGCCCAACTGGACTTCAAACAGGCACGACAGCTGGCCTTGTCATTAGAAAATGCAGCAAGTGGATCATGGGAGCTACAGGGCATTCCAATGTCCGACTGAGCTTGGGGAACACCACTTGAGTGTAGGTAAACACAGAGCCTCAGCAGGGCATATCCTGAGCAGAGGGACCCTAGGCCAGCCCACAGCAGAACCCCACAACAAAGCCAAGCCTCAGCCAAGTGGCTAAAATGTTTTTCAGGATCTGGGCTGGCAAGCCATTGTAGTTGCTGCCAGTATGCACACTCGAGGTGGCAAAGGCCTGACTTGAGGAAGGAAACTTGTAGGCCAGTACCCAGGAGAGTTTAGTGACATCCAAATTGGAACCGATCAAAATTAATGTTTGATTAAATGGTCAGCTAGTTCCTAAGGAGGTTGTTACCGGTGCAGTTGTATCTGTGGCAGAACCGATCTTCAACAAGCTTCGCTCGGGAGTCCAACCTTTAAATTTGCGCAAGACCTCAACCAGAGTGAGAACATACACTGGGGAACCGTTGCAGATTAAGGGTACAACTTTGGTTCCAGTTGCCTATGAGAAGCAGTTGGTGCAGTTACCACTGATGGTAGCAAAAGGCTCAGGCCCAAGTCTATTGAGCGGAATTAGTTGAGGAAGATTTGCTTGGATTGGCTCAACATTATTCGATTACAAAATAGCTGGCTCGGTGAAGTCTTAGTGAAATACCAGGAGATTTTCAGGAAGGGCTCGGACTATGAAAGGGGCCAAAGCCACTTTACATGTTGACCAGGAAGCAATTCTGAGATTTTTGCAAGGCCCCCGTGTGCCATTTGCCTTGCGGGCAAAAGTACAGGCAGAAATCAGGAGGCTGCAGAGTGAAGGAATCACCAAACCAGTGCAGATTGCAGAATGGACAGCACCAGTTGTACCGCTTGTGAAGCCTGATAGCTCAATTTGCCTTTGGGGGGATTTTAAGCAAATGGTAATCCGCTTCTCGCAGCTGGATAAATATGCAATCCCTTGCGTAGGGGACTTGTAAGCAAATTTGGCGAGGGGTGCTGTCCTTTATGAAGCTGGACATGAGCCACGCCTACTTGCAATTGCAACTGAATGAGGAGTCCAGAAGTGCACTACAACTAATACCCATAAGGATTTATACCAATATACTAGACTGTCGTTTGGGGTATCATCAGCCTGTGCCCTGTTCCAACGCACCATAGAGAACATCTTACAAGGGCTACCCCAGGTTACCATTTATCTGGATGATGTACTAATAACAGGGAAGACCAATAAAGAGCACTTGGAGGACATGGAAATAATGCTTAACCATTTCTCTCAGGTGCGAATACGTCTTAGACAGGAAAAATGTGTGTTCCAGGTGCCCCAAGTGACCTACTTGGGTTACAGAGTCAACAAAACCGGGTTACACCCGTTGGAAGAGAAAGGGAGGGCAATCAAAGGATCCCCAGCTCCCAGGTCTGTACTGGAGCTTAGGCCTTTCCTTGAGTTAGTGAATTATTACAGAAAATTCATACGTAACCTGGCCTCCATCGTGGCACCCTTACACCTGCTATTGAAAAAGCACCAGCCTTGGAAATGGTCACAAAGCCAAGAAGTAGCCTTTAAGGATGTGAAAAAGCAGCTATCGTCATCTGAGGTGTTGGCCCACTACAATCCAAAGCAAGAAATAGTGCTGACGTGCGATTACTCGCCGTACAGTATTGGAGTAGTGTTGCCTCGCAGATGGCCCAATGGAGAGGAACATCCAATAGCGTATACTTCCTGGACTTTGGCTGATGCCGAACGCAAATATGCCCAGATAGAGAACGAAGGTTTGGAGGTCATCTTTGGTGTGAGGAAGTTCCATCAGTACCTTTACAGACAGGAATTTGTCATAGTAACAGATCACAAACCTGTGCTAGGGCTACTGAAGGAAGACAAGGAGGTGCCGCTCATAGCTTCTGGTAGAATTCAGCATTGGGCCCTTATTCTCAGTGCCTACAAGTTAGAACACCGTCCAGGGAGCCAAATGGCTAATGCAGGTGCCTTGAGCTGCCTCCCACTGAAGATACTCCACCAATGGTGTCTCCCTTGCAAGCGTCCATTTTGGTTTTGAACTTCCTGGACACTATTCCAGTCACCGCTGACAATAGCCAACTGTGGACACAAAAAGATCCTGTCCTAGTGAAACTAAAACACCTGGTGGTAATGGGTGAAACAGAAGGGCCATCGCGACCTGGATGCAAACCTCCCTGGATCCGGTGAGACCAGGTCACCATAGAGGACGGCATATTACTGTGGGGAGCCAGGGTGATTGTCCTGAGTAAAGGTCACCGCCAGGAACTCCACCAGGGTCATCCAGGGGTCTCTAGGATAAAGATGCTAGCAAGAAGCTATGTCTGGTGACTAGGATTGTATGCTGACATAGCTGCATTGGTGAGGCAGTGCCCAGAGTGCCAACAAGGACAAAAATTGCATTCAGCAGCAGCCCCACATTCGTGGGAATGGTTGGGAAAATCCTTGACTCGGTTTCATGTTGACTATGTCGTTTTTTTCAGGGGGGCAATGTTCCTGGTCATTGTGGACATCCACTCAAAGTGGTTGGATGTGCATAAAGTTCATTCAGCAAACTCAGGGATGACGATTGAGAAGCTGTGAGCATCGTTCGCGATACACGGACTCCCGGAAGTACTGGTCAAAGTCAATGGGGCGTCATTTAGCAGCAGGGAATTCAAATATTTTCTAAAGTCCAATGGTGGTCGATACATAAGGACAGCTCCATACCATCTATCGTCCAATGATCTGGCCGAAAGACCAGTCCAAACATTGAAGGCAGGCTTAAAGAAGCAGCGTCAATTGAGACCAAACTGTCCCAGTTCCTGTACGATTATAGGACCATCCCACACACAACAACAGCAATAGCTCCAGCAGAGCTGCTGATGGGGAGAAGACTCTGCACCAGGTTAAACCTGATATTCCAGAGACCTGGGGGTGGGATGGTGAAACGGCAGCAGGAACATCAATGCCGGCCACATGCTGCCTCTAGCAAGAGAGACAATTTAATTCAGGGGATGATGTTCAGTGCCACTATGGAAATGGCCCCGTATGGGTACAAGGTGGGAGGTTGGCACAAGGTCAGGTCTTGTGAGTTACAAAGCTCGGGTAGGTGATACAGCCCTGAACAAACACAAGGATCACGTGAAAGCTGCTACCTTACAAATGGGCCTGGGGGAAAACATTCCTGGCCCCTCAGATCAGCCTGAAGGCCTGTCAGAAACCATAGGTTCTCTGTCTCTGTCTAGTCTTGAGCAAACCTCAGAGTCCAAAATGGATGCAGCTTCAATACCGTTACTGCTGGAAGAAAAAGAAGAAACTCTCCCGGGACACTCCAAACGCAAGAGGTGGGCTATGGTCCAGTCCATGCTGCCCATGTCAGAGTCTGAATCAGAGGAACTAGACTTGGGGTTAAAAATGTCACAGGAAA